GCAGCAGATGCAGCAGCAGCAGATGTTGCAGCAGCAGATGTTGCAGCGGCAGATGATGCAGCGGCAGATGATGCAACAGCAGATGATGTCCTGGGCTCAGTGTGGCCTCTCGCACTTGCGTTGCCAGGGCTTCCGACGCAGTGCAACGCCCCCTTCCACTGTGGCTTCACGGGAAGTAATGCAAGGACGCCCGAACAATGAGTAGTATCATTCTATAGGATGCCCTGAAAAGATCCACAAGCAATCAAACATACATATACATATATATATATATGTATATATACATAAATAAATATATATATATATATATAATTATTTATTTATGTATTTATCATACACATACATATGTGTATATGTATATATGTATATGTATATGTATATGTACATATGTATATATATATATATATGTATGCATTATATAGGTATAGAGTCTAATTGGTCAGTTCCCAACCTCTCCTGGAGCGCTAAGCCCCCCAAAACCCTAAACCCTTAAAACCCCTTAAATCCTAAACCCTGAACAACCCTAATCCCTTAATTAAACCCCTAAACCCTTATAAACCCTTATAAACCCTAAACACTAAACCTTTAAAACACCCCGCGAAGGCAACCCCAGCCCATGGCCGGTGGTTGCAGCGGCTGCATGCCTTGCATGGGGTCCTGCTCCGCGATGCCCTGCATGCAAGGTGGGGTTTGGCGAGTTTGGGAGTTCTCAGGGTTTAGCGGTTTAGGGTTTAGGGGTTTAGGGTTTGATTTTGGGGTTTAGGGGTGGCTGAAACTGGCTAGACTCGACTTGAGCCCAGTGGGAAACAAGGGTTTAGTAGGGTCGGAGCTTCATTGCTATTGATCTCGGGTTGGGGTTACTGGTCTTGTCAATTGGAAACCCCACTACACACCACACAGGTGGCAAGTATCGAGTTACCGTTTGACGCACTGCCATCACTCCTCTTTAATTTAACTGAAGCCCAGAACAGCAGAGGCGTCTGTCCTTGCGGAGCCGTCAGCGGATGCTCTGGGACACCAGCCCCGGCCCAAAGAATTGCAGCCTTCTTAATTCTAACAGTGTGTTGAGGTATAGTTTGCTATCATGTGGCTCTATCTCCCTGAATACAGTGCTGTGCTAGGCCCACAATCTACCTACATTTGTCTGGAAGCATAGCACGGGGCTCATAAAGTTGCATCCCGTGTTAGTACGAAGTTGTGGCCTAGAGATTTTATTGGTCTTCCCGCAGGATACGATACATCGCAGAGTGCATAATTAGTTATCAGGTCCTTGCAGCAACGCAACCTTGAAGTTGAGGTCGACCCCTTAAGCCAAGCTACCTTGGACCCCGGAATTCAACCCAGACAGAAGCGAAGATGCCGGTTGTGTCTTCACAGTGCAGAAACGGAGGTACAGCGCAGGTACAGCAGGGAAGATAGATCGCGAGCTTGGGCATCGTCTAGAATCTAGAACAGACAGTAAAGTTGCCAAGCTCACTTAGCCGACTTAGCAAGACCCCACCCCCGAAATGATGTCTGCTCATCCGCAAATGCCCACACATGCCTCACGCCCTTCCCGACCGCCCATGCAGAAGCCAAAGCCGTCAGCCCGATTGCAGGGGTGCTTGGCATCGCAAGAACACCCGATTATTCCGAGGCCCCTATGGCTCCCATGGCACAGGCACAGATGCAGCTGCAGTGGCCTCAGCTTGAGGCATGAGCCTTATAGAGGACTCCGGTGGCTACGACATTAAAGGTTGTGGTGGCGGCAGCGCCGATGGTCATGATAAGGATGGCGACATCGATGACGGCCACGATTACTATCACGATGCTGAGCTCCGTCTTGTCCATAATGGCTCGAGGTAGCAGACAGCAACGGCGACAGGAATAGCAATATCAAAGCGGAAAACCAACACGATTTCTGACCAATCTTAGCAATTAGCAACAGCAAGCATGGCAGGAATTGGAAAAAGAACAAGCGAACAGCGACCATGCACGACCGGCTTTGAAAATAGTGAGCCGCAGCAGCAGCAGCAGTAGCAGCAGCGGCGGCAGAGGCGGCGGCGGCGGCGACGACTGATTGTCGCACTGGAATCTCACAGCCATCACAACAACAAAAGGCAACGATTCAAAAGACAACATCGACAGAAACCCCACCAGCAACAGAAGCAACATCGATCACCGCCGATGCAACAACAACAGCAGCGGCAGCAACGACAACAACAACAACACGGCAGCAGCAGCAGAATAAGAACCAGAGACACATTGAAGTTGAACAAGCGATTAATGGATATAGAACACATCAAGGCCTTCATGCCTTAAGATGTAACAGATGACAGAGATGAGCTCGTGTAGGACTGGAAAACCGCGACTGTGGGCCCTCAACCCTCGCCCTAACCGTGTCTAGCCGTGTAAAATTAGAAGCCTTGTGAATGACGATTTGAGGGCGGCTCCCCAATGATACGAAAATAATTACACCCCCGAAGCCCGATTCTACCATGTCGTAGCGGAACATAGTGAGGTCCCCCTTTTTTTGGAACTCCGACCACAGAGGCCGATGCAGCCGCCACCGCCGGCTTAGGCGACCATGGGATCCCGCTCCCTATCAACGGAGGGAAAAAGGTGCGCTTTAAGGTCCCTGCTCCTAAAGCTCTATAAGAGCGCATGATTCTGCAACTCTCGTCGTATCGATTCTGTAAGTGTTCTATGAACGTGACCTCCAGCCCCGCCAGGTGTTGCCGAAGCAGCACCAAAAATTCTCGAATCAGAATACATGGCCTTTTATAGAGACACAGAAAGAGGCGCCGATAGATAGGTGGAGATGTAGAAAGAGATAGAGGTATAGATGTAGATACAAACATAGCTATAGATAAAGGTACACATGCGTATCGATACGTTCTGTATAGAGACCATTGCTCAAGCTCAAGGATTCATGCGAGTTGCTGCCGAGTTTTCGACTCTCGTAGGCTTCAAGTGCAGGTGCCCGCACGGGCTGTATGCTATCTTATCTGACTGCCTTAGTGAGCGAAAAAACCCTTAAGTAGAGGGCCCTGTTATGTAAACTCTATTTGGATGTGAACCGTGAATTCTTTGATGGGTCATTCGATCTTCCGGAGTTCAGGGCCAGCCGTTGATTGCTTGTTCAGGCGCTGTCCGGAGGTGGGGATGCGTTGTATAGGAGCTCGCTACGGATATTCTGTCGCTGTTACTGCTGAGGACAATTGCTATAGCTTTCTACGGCTATGTACTGTATCATCATGGCCCTTCAGCTTTCGCACGATTTCCAGGGCCGTGCCGACTGCGAAGCCGCGTTGGCTTGAGCCTGTAGGAACCTGTAGGAGGTCCCAATGCGGTTAGGGGTTTAGGGTTTAGGGGTTTAGGGTTTCAGGGCTTAGGGTTTAGGGTTTATGGAGGGATTCATCGTGCTCGATTTTTGCGAAGACAGGGGTATATTCCGAAATCCTGTCTGTAAACCCACGGTGTTCCATTGTCCCGCCGGTGGGAAGACAGTAGCAGCCCACACAGATCTTGGCGTTTCCAGTCAGCAGCACCCAGCACAACAAATGAGTTTCAGAAATGTATTGTTGAACAGCACATGCACGGTTTATTTAACCTCCCCGTCGCGACCTCAGCAAGCGTACTCACGATGTAGAGCAGCCTCCTTGTATACGTCCTTCCCAAAATCCTCCTATACCCTTAGAGAGAGAGAGTCAGCCATGCATAGTCCCCTTGTAGTAACCCTTATGGAAGTCCTCCTAAGCCCTAAACCCCAAAGCCCATGGAGCCCGACTTCTACGCGCTGCTGGGGGTGCCCCGGAATGCCTCCAGCGCGGACCTCCGCGTCGCGTCGCGCCGGGAGGGAGGGTGGGGCTATGGGCCAGAGTTCTTTGAGCTGAGGGGCTGGCCATGTCCATCTACATATACAGTTGTATACACACCTATTTGTCTATCGATCTATCTATCCATCTATGCATATCTACAAAGAAAATGTATAGACCTGCATGCACGGATGCCTGCAATCCCGAAGCCTTTGGAGGTACAAGCGTCTCGCCGCTTCCGAGCGACCTCCTGAAAGTTCGGTGGACCTGTCGCAGGGAGAGGATGAGTTTGAATTGGATGTTGTGGATGACGTACAGACATCGGCGCCGAAACACAAGTTGCAGCAGTGTACAGCTAGTGGTGCCTGAAACCAGATTTCACTTGGATACGACGGAAGCCCTGCATGCGCACGTGGCAGTTGCACGCCTTTCGAATAAAGCTTCCAAGGCCCGCCAGCGCGGCGGAAAGTCCGAATCGATTGCCGATGCGAAACGCCGGCGCTGGCTCCAAATCCAAACGGCCTACGACACGATTCTTGGCCCCTGAACCCCTACACCCCCTTAGCCCGAAACCGTGGACGTGACCGCCTTGAATAAAAAAGCGGCTCCAGGGAATGTTTGCTTTGGCCTATGAGCTCCAGGGTATGGGCTTAAAGCTTGGGATTTGCATTTTCTTCATACTACCTCTTAGCTTGTGTCTGTTTTAACTCGGTGGTTTTTCTTTGACAGTCGGAGCCATGCTTCAATTGCCCAGTGAACCAGATCGATGATGAACACTTCTGCATGGCACAACCTTACAACTTATTTTTTGCCTCTGGGCTTGTTGTTTCTCAGTGACTCAGGCTGGCTGCAGCAACGGCAACTTCAGGGTTTATGGGGCGCAGTTTAAGGTCTAGGATATATAGGAGCCTTATAGAAGCTCTTTATACCTCATAGAAGCCTTATAGAAGCCCAAAAAAACCCTAAACTCCCCACCTGTAGTCTCCTTTAATAAGGCTGATGAACCCGCGGCGCCGCGGGCTCTACGACCGAAACTGCCCTGGTGCAAGCGAGCCCAGTCCTCTTCTGGAGCCAAAGGAAGACCCCCCTACAGCGGCAGGCGCAGCGGACATGTATTATGTACACATGTTATATGCATGTACGTATGTGGACCGAAAGAGTTCTCCCATCAGTAGAGTTCGGGAGTTTAGCAGTTATAAGAACTGTCGGCAGAGTTGGGTCATCCAGTATTGTTGATGCTTATGGTCCGAAAAATTCGGTGTCAGCTCGCGTTGTCACCTGCCAGGAAGCCTTCTGGATCTGCCTCCGGCCTTGAGTGCAGAAGAGGATTCGAGTTGGGGGCGCGTCCGGCAAGTCTTCGAAGAGCTCCTCTCCGAGGAGCCGGCCGACGACGCTCCAAGAAAGGTGGTTGATTTTGGGGGCCCCCTGACAGCCTGGGAGGAAGTCCGGAGATTTTACGATTTCTGGAGCACCTGGGGCACGCGCCGGCCCTTTGAGAGCGCCGGCGCCTTCAGCGCCGAGGAGATGGCAGCAGCACCCAACCGCGCCGCCAGGCGCTGCATGGAGCAGGAGAACGAGAAGCGCCGGAGGGGGCAGCGCCTGAAGTTCAATGCCGAGGTGCGGGAGGCGGTGGCGGCTCTGCGGGACCGGGACCCGCGAGTGCAGGCCCGGGCACGCGCCTGTGCAGAGGAGGCCCAAAACCGGGAGGCTTTTCGCGAGGCCGAGGAGGAGCGAAGGCAGGCCGAGCGCCGGGAGCGTCGGCGTGCCGCCCGCGAGAGTGAGCTGCAGCGCTGGGCCGAGACCGAAGCGGAGGCCGCGGCCCTTTCGACTTCGGCTTCGGCGCCTCCTACGCCATCTTTTCCCCCGTCCCCCTGGGTTTGCAACATTTGTGATGGCAAGGCCTTCCCTTCGCACCAAGCTTACGAAGATCACCGGGCTTCCAAGCGACACAAGCGAAATGCGCGGGGCTCGCCGGAGATCTCGCCTCCGGTGGCGAGCCCTGCCATGATGTCTCCTTACATGCTGCCGTCCACTGCAGCTCCGGTGAACATGGACAACCTGCCAGGTGTGGGAGCAGGGTGCTTGAAATGAGCATGTTCGGGATGTCGGTTGTTCAAGACAGGATGCCTCACTCTAGGCCTTCTAGGTGTGGTATCTGGTCTGGATGTAGACGAGATGACAGAAGTCGCAGTCATTGCATCGCATTTCCGAAAGCTCCATCCTGACTTCAACAGAAGCATACCTAGAGCTTTTTCTACAATAGCCAATTTTTACAAAAAACACCGTCTGCTGCTCTTGAGTCTTGTTTGCCATGTCGGCCCGTATTGTTGTTCTGATCTACTTAGAAGAAACTTTTGCAACTAGCAGTCATTCAGAAACATTACGGACATACGTGCTATCTAAACGTGCCTGTGTATATATATGTGTGTGTGTGTGGACACATGTATGCATGTGTATATATTTTCATATAGCTACACATGTAGCTGCGTGTGTTAGTTGTGTAGAACATATATGCTCTAGACACAAAGCTACAGTCAAGTTCTGCATATACCAGTCCTTCTGGGCATGCGTACGCATACTCACATTCTACATAAATACCTACACACACACACAACACATACACGGACACGCACACGAGCATGCAAGCTTGCCACTGCAGCTGCATGAATGCATACATACAAACATACGTTAAGCATGCCTGTATACATGCATGCATACATACATACACACATACCCGTGCATCAATCCATACAAACACACAAACATGGGCGTACACATGCGCACTTGCATGCTGATGTGCATATACATACTCAATAGAAAGGCGGGCAGGTGGAGGGCGACAGACAGACAGAGAGACAGAGACAGAGACAGACAGACAGACAGAGACAGACAGAGACAGAGACAGACACAGACACAGACACAGACGCAGACGCAGACGCAGACACAGACACAGACACAGACAGACACAGACACAGACAGAGACAGACAGACACAGACAGAGACAGACACACAGACAGACCGACAGACCGACATAACGACAGACAGAGCGACAGACAGAACGACAGACAGACCGACAGACAGACAGACGGACAGATACTCGCACATGCACATACACAAACAAATAGATGTACCTCAATCCTACAACATGTACATGTTTAAACGGATGCACGTGTTTTTTTGGGTGCACATATTTTTGGGGGTAAGCCAACCTTGTAGCAGCAGTCCGCTAATTGTTACTGCCAGTGGAATTTCTCCAGCTACCTTTACGCTGGCGCAGATACGGGAGTTGTGGACAACGAAGAAGACTTGAAGAGTTTCTAGGCCTTTTTGCAGAAGGCCTTTAGGTGTACACTCGGAGAGGCTTGCAGCTTCCAGTGGCTGCCTCTAGCAGCACGGGCCAAGAAGCAGAGGCAAGCAGTGCGGGTTCTTCTAAACTCTGATCTTAAAAACTCCGACGGCACACTCGCATAATGCCAAAGTGGTCCTAAACTCCTGGGCATGCAAAGTCGCCAAGTTTTGTCCAACAGACTCTCCACTTTGCCGAATATCGGTGCAGCCACTCCAAGCACCCAAACCCGAGCCTTTCTGACTCACAGGCCCAAGACGAGTGGGGTGCTGGCTACCTTTCCACCCTGCGGAAAGAGCACTGGTGCGGCGACTTTGCTCTGCAAACAGGGCGAAGAAAATGGTTGAGGGTCGGAATATAAGGGGTCTCACAATAGGGTTCTAGCAGTGTTCTGGCTGATTCTAGCTTCGAAACATTGCCGCATCTTGCTTTGCTTCGTCTTCGTGTCATTGCCGAGCCGTTGCCAGTCTTATGATGACTGCTTGTAGGCAGTATCAAAATTGCGTTTTGACATCACGAATGATGCGAGTATTGTATAGTATCGTAGAATTCGTCGAAGAGACGTATTGTTAGTGTGAGGACGATGGTGATCATCAGTGTTCCACTGATATTGTGGCTGCTTCTGCAACAGCCACTGCTGCTGCTGTTGCTTCTGCTCGCCTTCGTCGCGTATTGGGATAGAGCACCCATCCATTCCGGAGAAGCCGTGGAGCAGGACTACCTTGTTTAACTTCTGATGGTCTTACCGCCGAGAGTATGCATGGTCGGGAGTGGCTCCCGACCTGCGGCAGGGAGCTTGTAGTTGCATCGGTGTGCAAACCTGCAAGGAATCTTCGCATTCCTCACGAGCCGCGAAACCATCCTTCCCATTGGGGCTCTGCTATGTGCGAGGTGCACCGCTTGTGGAATGCTGTACTCCTGTGGCAAGCTTATCAGCCATGCCAGAATGTGTCTCGAGCTAGCAAGCCGTTGCAACTGTAGCTCCTCCCTGTGCATCCGGACTATCCTTGGCGAAGAGGTTTCGAAGAGAGTGCCGGTCCGCCACATTGCAAGAATCGAACCCCTACCACCCTGAGCCCACCAACCCTACAGCAAGACCGTAGACCAGTCTCAGAGCTTGCCTTTCCGGACAGGGCTTTGCGGTCGGGCGCTTTTGCCGATGCCGGGCTCTGGCAGTCGCCAGCTCGAGTTTCGGATCGGGTTTGAGGGTTTTTTTTGGATCTCCATATGGGTAGCTCTCTAAAACAATGGTTTCTTTGTCGGTCTCCAATACCCTTATGAAAAGGATCCTAAAAGGGACCCTAATTTAGAGAACTATCCATATATAGCAGGTTTCTGAAATCTCTAGGACCTGAGTGGAGGATTCCTTGAGTTCAGGGACATCTTGTTTAGAAGCTCCTCATGTTGGGTTTAGTGTAGTTATTTGCACGGGTTTAGGGTTATTTTATTGGGGGATCCTATTCTTCCAGGCCTGTGCCTTAGTCTTCCTGAGACTTCATAGTCCGACCCCCATATCACATCCAATGTCCCTCCCTGCTAAGACTAGGACCTATTATCCCCGATGTCGGGGGGGACCGGAGAAAAGAAAAAGCCCCAAGCCATAAGCAAGATACCCTACTTTTCCTGCGGAGCGCATCCCAGGACGTAGGGCTCGTGCTTGAAATCTTGTAGCCCCCCACAACTCGTGGATGCAAGGCTTAGAAGTTAGGGCTCAGGGCCAAAAAAACTGAGTTTGAGATTCGAAATGGGGGTTTCCGAAAATAGGGGACCCTAATAGAGTACCCTAAATCGTAGGATCCTTACTCTAACCAAAATAAGGTACCCCCCCTTATTTACGGAAACCCCCGAAATGTTCAGAGATCCCTCAGTTCCAGGTTGCTCATGCAAGAACGGTGGCTTCAAAACGGGGCAGCCGGAGCAAGCGCCGCATTTTCCTCGGCGGACTACCGACTCTTCACGCATGCTGTCGCGGCAGAGTCCATGTGCTCCTTGAGGAGCATATCAAGTTACAGGGGTGGGTTGGGGGTGGGGGTGGGGGGGAGATCAAGGTTCGAAAACATGTACGCTTGTAGAACAGATGCATGAGGTAACAAAAATCACGACCTCAGTATCTGCTGCGAGGCCATGATTGACTGAATTCCAGTTTATCTGTATGCCCATACAGGCCTACATACATACGGACGTAGACTGTCTACATACAGTTTGAACAGATGTAATGAGGGGCTTCATGGCGGGTAGTTGGAGTAGCCTAAGGCGCAGGGCGCCTACCCAGATCCACTAAATCCTACACCCCTACACCCCCATTTTTGCCCTAAAACACCCTAGACGCATGAACTCCCAAACCCCTAAACCCCTCGTGAGTGCTGAAACCCCTAAACCCTAAACCCCTAAACACCCCCAAATCCCCTCCTGGCTTGTCCTAGTTGTGAGTGCTGAAACACCCCCCAATCCCTAAACCCAACCCCTAATCCCCCCAACCCCTAAACCCAAAGCCAAGGCTCGCAGATAGCCGAGGCTGCAGGCCTCGAAGCTTTGGCTGAGGCAGAGAAAGATCCTCGCTCTCCAAATCGGGGAGTTTCCGAGAATTAGGGGTTCCTTATTTTATAATAAGGATCCTAGTATTTAGGGTGTTCTGAGGTTCCGTTCCCAGAGAGCCCAATACCCCTTAATTAAGGAATATACCTGAAATCATAATATTCAGGCCCCTATAATTTACGGTATATTCCTTAATTAATTAGGGGGTATTGGGCTCTGCGGGTAGGGGGCCTTGCAAAAAGCCGAGGTGTGTTTCCTTCGGGTTCCGTAACTTACAGTGAAACAGTAGAACTTATACTGTAATGTATGCCAAAACCGCGTTCTAATTTTTCAGGCCCTTCACTACCCAACTTTCGAAGTTGATCCGTCGACCGGATCCTTCTGTACACTTCAGTGTGATAATGAAGGATTAAACGTGTATATTTGGTGTCTTCTGGCTGATGATTGTTCTGAACGGTGAGCAGTTCATTTCTTCGAGTCTTCTTCTCGACGCTTTATGAGCTAGTTTAGCGAAAGCCCCCGAAACCCCCAAACCCGAAAACCAATATGGGCAGTTCTCTAAGTTAGGGCCCTTTGGGGGTCCCCAAAATAGTACGTCACCCGTATAAACAGGACCCTAAAAGTGACCCTAGTTTAGAGAACTACCCATATACATATATATATATATAAGATATAGATTAGATATATATATATATGTATATTATATATGTGTATATATATATATCAGATCATATCATATGTCAAGGATCCTGAGATGGATCCCGAGTCTCGCTGCTTTTGCGACTTGGCTCAAGGCTTCCAACCCCCATACCCAGAGAGCCCAAAAAACACCCTTAACTAAGGAATATACCTTAAATCATAATATATATGGAGGCCCCTTATGATTTAAGGTCTATTCCTAATTAAGGGGTATTGGGCTTTTGGGGTACATGCGTCTTAACCCATGTCTACTCCTCAGGGTTCCCTTGCCTTTTAAGTGCAGTAGCATTTCCCCGCAAGACCCTTTTTTTTAGCTATGGGCTCAGGCTCTGCGGCTGAGGGCATTGGGTTAGGCTTTAGGGCTTTAGAGGCTCTTCGGCAAGGTTCAGGGTATCAGGGTCTCGGGGAGTTCATGGGGTTTGGGTCTCGGGGCTTTCTTCACAGCATCTCTTCCACTGCAAGGATTCTGTCTTGAGAGATCGTGCTTGGTTGAGATCTGATTTCATGGCTGGGTTTGCGGTTTACGTCCATCTATGGAAGATCCTGGACCCTAACCCTTGCAAACCCTTTCCCAGACCCAAAGCCTAAACCCTAAACCCCAAACCCGACCTAATTGGTGACACTCATGGTCGCTGTTAAATTGATGGCGATGTGGGACCACCTTGTCCGTGCTCTCTGTTCTGAACTTAACCCTGCAATGCGGGCTCGTCCTTGCCAATTGGGAGGGAAAAAAACCCCAAACCCGAAGTGTCCAAAAATGTCCCAAATCCAAAACCCCCGAGCCCACTCCCCCTGGCCGCAGCCGGCTGTAGTGCTATGCATAGAGCCTTAGCCTATGGCTAGTTCTCTACATGTGGGTCCCTTTTAGGATTCCCCAATTTTGTGCGGCACCCTTATAAAAGGGACCTAAAAGGGAGCCTAATTTGGACAACTACCCCACTGTTGCCTTTTCCCTTTTCCAAGCGCAGCAGTTCAGCCGTCCGAGGCTCTATGTCCTTGGACAGCCCCTTCCACACCATCACCGCTGAGCATCTGGGGTTTTTTCTGTTAGGGCATAGGGTCTCATATCAGGAATCTGCGGAGATTGATAGCTGGGCGTTGTCTTAAAAATGAGATATCACACTAGGCATACATGGAGACTCATCGGCCGGGTGTTGCCTTGTACCGAAAGTGCTCTTATAGCTTCGTCCTAGCTAGGCGGGAGGCGACAAGTGCTCTGGCTAGGGAATGGACGGGTAGCTACTAGTCACAAAGCTGATCGCACTACCCTAAACCCCTAAACCCTAAACCCTCCTTCCTCTTAGTGGACACCAAAGCTAGGTCCCCTAATTAAACCCCCAACTCCTCCACCAGTCTCTTCCTGTGGTCTATGTGGGAGCTGCAGAAAACTTCTCAGAAAACAAGGGACCATAAGTATAGATCTGCACAAAGACGCAGGCTCTCTATAACTACCCTAAGAACACCTAGCCATCAAAGCCCATGAAGACTCAACCTTTGCAGAGCTCACTTCGTCGAACTGTGCAAGACGGGCTCAGACTGTCCGGCGAGAAGCCCGGCTTGTGAAGTCTTCCTACGACCCGTCAGCGCGTAGGAAAAAAAGGCAAAAAAAGTCCCCAAGTCAAGTTCCAGGGAAGACCCGGCGCCTGCTCTCTTCAACCCGAAGCCCCCCCACTCTTAAAATTCAATCCCCTCACCCCTAAACTCGAAACCCCCGAAGCCCCCCACAGCCCTAAACCCTAAACTTCTGAACACCTAAAACCCTAAACCCCAAGCCCCCCCAAAGCCCCAAAGAATCTCAGGCATGGCCTAATCGCCGTCAGCTCAATGACCTCCGAGGTGCGACTCTTTGAGGCGGAACACGCATGGGTTTAAGATTTAGACTACAACTACAATTGTTACCATTATGATTATTACTAGTATTATTATTACTGGTATTATTACCGCTACTACTATTTTTATTGCTATCACTAGACTGGAGCTCAGTGGGAGAAAGGGTTTTAGTATTTTAGGCGCTTGCACAAGTCTTGTTGCAAAAAAGGCGTCTAGGATTTAGCAACAAAAGATTTAAGGGTTTGGGTGTGGGTACTCCTTCCCCTGTTTTGAGCTTACCGTATCACAAGACTCCGGGGATAGGGGACCTGAAGAAGTATATTGGCATCTCATCCCTTTTGGTAAGTTATGTAGTATGTATGGTACAAAGCCCCCGGCCAAGTTGCAACCAAGGAGTCGGAATAGTTGGCATCGGTATCTGTCATGGGATCAGGCAAGGGCTGAACGGGTTGTCGGTGGCTTGCTGGGTTCTTAAAGCCGGGGTCGGAATGCGTAGGAAAAAACTGTATCCCCTCATAGTCCCCTGAAAAAAGAGAGAGAGAGCAAACCTCCATAACCAAACACCGTAAACACGTTTAAGTCCTCCAAAAAATACCAAAAGCAAACGGCCATGCCAAAACCTTGCTCTGAACATGGAAGGCCCCAATGAGTGGGGCTTACCGGTAACCGAAAAGGCCTACCTCTTTTTAAAGAACTATATATATATGTGTATATATATATAGATATATATATATACAGAAATCATAGTAAGGAGCCCTTTTAAAACAGGTAGGTTCTTTAGTGCCCAGGTAGGGTTTAGAGCCGAAGGTCGGAAGCTTAGGGTTGAAGGTCGCAGGTTTTGAGTTCCGGATTTTTAGGGGGGTTGGGGTTGGATAAAGTTTATATATATATATATTATTTTTTTTTGGGGGGGGGGGNNGGGGTTGAGGATTTTGCTGAGAGCTTAGGGTTGAAGGTTCTCTTCGGGGTTGCAGTTTGGAGGGTGAGTGCATATGTTGAGTGAATTTCTTGGGGTTATCAAGCATCGAAACTGGAGCACAAATCAGAGGTATGTTCCAAAGGTGGATCAACCCGCTCACTCTGAAACCCCGATGCCCAAAACGCGCAACTC